AAATTTAATCCTCAACTTTTGGAGTGGACAGATTTTCACGAATGAAGCAAATGTCTTTAAATACTTTAATGCCCTTCCAAAGTATGAATTCATTTTTAAAATCAAGCATAGACCATGAATATGCCATTCTTGATTGCTCAAAGAATTCATGACACTTATTTGCTCTATATTTTAAATGTATAGCAAGCAGTGAAGTACATGTATGCTTACAGTAAAGAACCTACCCTTAGCATTTTCTGTCTGCACTTTACATCCCCTGCTGATGAGATATTCCACCACACTATCTCTAGAACTCTCTATGGCTCTAGTGAGTGGCGTACCACCATTCATCGTAGTGGCATCAATTTCAGCTCCATGCTCTATAAGGTATTCCACCACATCCAGCATACCAGCATGGCAGGCATGGTGAAGCGGTGTCCATTTAAAGTTGTCCCTGGCATTGATCATTGCTCTGTTGAAATATAAGACTGATGTTAAAAAGACAACTGTGAAGTGATAAACTTCTAAACTGACAGCTTCATTGATTATACCAATAATTCAGCATCAATGTACTTTCTGTAGTTAATTAGCACTGTTTCATGTGTTAGTTGATGTTCTTACCCATTCTCTACCAGGAATTTGACCATATCTATCCTGCCAGTGGCACAAGCAACCATCAGTGGAGTCTTGTAGTACTTATCCCTTGTGTCTACTGTACTACCCCTCTGGAAGGCATTCTTTAATGAGTCAAAGTCCCCATTTTTAGCAGCATCAGCAATGTTCATGTACATCCTGTCTGGGTGGTTCAGGTACCAGGCAGAATCATCCTGTAAAGGGTGGGCCGGCGGTCTGTCTCGGTCGAAGCGGTTAGTGTCCGTGAAGTGAATGTGTCTCTCTATGAACATCTCAGGTGGTGCGCCTCCGTAAGTTCTGGGTCCCTCGTCCTGAGTACAGATCGGCATAACAAGCTTAAACTTTCCCTTCTTTTTACCTCCCTTGCCCTTCTTTCCTTTCTTTTTCTTTTTGCCCTCAAAGGCACTCATTAAATAGTTTTTATTCACATATTTTTTGCCTCCCACAAAATCATTAAAGTCAATATTGCCATCGTGATTTTTGTCGTGAGCTGTCAGAACTTTCTTCATGTCTTCCTCCTCAACAGGTGCCCCCATTCCAGTCAGGCTGTCTGCAAAGTTGTCCTTTGTCACAGTTCCCTTCTCATCAGGGTCATATTTCATCATCATGTTGATAATCTTTTCTGATCTCTCGAACACCCAGTCATACAGAGCTATGGCCCATGGCTCGTTGTTCTTGCCGACTTTACCGAATGCCTTCTCTGCTTTCCTACATTCTTTTGTAGCCTCTTTGTGATCCCTATCTTTTGCCAAAGTCCTACCAGTCTCTCCTTCATTGTTTTTTGGCTTAGGATTGCAACCTAACAGAGAAATAGCATATTGTGTGAGTTCAGATATTTTATACATCTAAGCTCAGATTTTGTTTTAGTAAATAAATATCCAATTAGAAGAGCACACCCTAGGTTAATTTTGCAGTCTTAGACATTTAATTTTTTTTTTACTTTTCCTCACCTCTTTGTGCTAAGAATTTACAGCACATTCCATGGCCATTCATGGCAGCATTGTGAATTGGAGTATTTCCTTCTGAGTTTGTCTGATCAAACATTGCACCATGTCCAGACATACAGGCCAATACTGGTAGACTGCCTCCAATGGCAGCATAGTGTGCAGCATGGTTATGCTTTATATCTAAAGCATTTACATCTGCCCCACGCTCCAGAATGGCACGAACAACTTTGACACTCCCACTAGCTGCAGCAGCCATTAGACATGTCTTCCCAGTTTTCTGAAAAAAAATATTGAGTAACCTCAGTAACTTTGTAAATGTTTTGCTCTCCTCCAAAATCAATTTGAATGATGAGGAACAATCAAGATACTAAAAATTTCAGGCAATAAGAATCAAAAGGGACAATCAAACTTCTAAATCAATAAACCTGCATATCTGATTTTTATTTAGTACTTTATATTAATTTACCTCCTGTTTTCCATTTGGGTTGGCACCTTTCTCTAAGAGTTGAATGCAGGCTTCCTCATTGTCCGTGGCTGTTTCACATGCATAGAGAAGCACGGGAATGCCCTCGGCTGATATGTTATTGGGGTCAGCTCCGTTTTCTACTGCTATTTCCAGACACTTGGCATGTCGTTCCGTAGGAGAGATGCAGTAAAATAGGATACCTGGTGATAATGAAGTGTGATACAAGACATTGTCCAAATTAGATGGTTATGAAGGTTTAATATTGATTTTTGCTCTCTTCTGGTAAAAGTGATAATTTGTTTTAATGAGCAAGCATGGGGAATGTCTCAAAATCCATGGTATTTTTATATAATTAAATTATTATACTTTGTTAACATTACCTTTGCCTTCCAAATCTTTTATATCCATTTTAGCCCCAGCCTCCACCAATTTTTCTAGACACTGCACATGGCCATACTCTGCTGCTCTCATTGATGGGGACCTGCCCTTCAAATCAACAGCATCAGGGTGGGCTCCGAGCCCAATTAGAAACTTTATCATTTCATCGTCATTGGCTGCTGCAGCCACCCCAAGGGCCGTGAATCCTTCATTGGCATCATTGTAATTAATCAAATGTGGGACTCCATGGTTTGTGAGTTTTTCTATTTGACCCATGTCCTTTTCACGAACACATTGTAAAAGTTTGCACACTTGCAGTGTTTCTAGTCTTGTTTCAGCAACAGGCATTTTGGTTTATTTTTTTCTTCTCGCTCCAATAGGGAAATTGACTAGAACTTCTTTATGGTTATCAATAATGAGAGTGATTAATGATTGTTCATTCTCATCATACCATTGTTAATATTTAATGTATTTCATCCCAAAGTGCTTCCAATGCTAAATCTACAAGAAAAAGTGACATAGGCTTACAGGGGCATGAACATTGCATGTTGCATTATCATATGCATATCTGTATACAGTAACACTTACTATTTAGCTTATATATACTTTTCTGTGTATGTTTAATAGTCAAAATTAAAATATTAATATTAAATTCAAACTTTGACCTCCTCATTAAAAAAATGCTCATTATTCTTTTTTTATATAGATCACGTCAACATCCATCCGACACGTAAACTGGCGATAAAATGATTATTTTCCGACTCCTTAATCATGACATCTATAAAACATGAAGTAATGTACCTGTTGTCTTACGAGAGGCTGACAGGAAATCTTGTTATCAAGGATTGCGTGTTGATGTCTTCTATTTCATTATTTATTCATTTTGACGAGCTTAACCCGCCATTGCTGTTTGTTTGTCTCTAAGGAAGCGGTTTCGCTATCGGAGACCCTCGGCTTTTTCCGTAGCGAGCGAAGGCACCTGCTGGGACGATCAGTTCGCGGGAAAGCGGTCAGCGGGAGAGGGACTGGGAACAGTCAAGTCTAATAAACTGTTAACAGATTATATTGGGCTTTTTTACACATTGTAATAAGTATTATAAAGTATTATTGGAAAGAGTTGAACAGGGAAATTATACACAGTACGTACAAAATGTAAGCTTTCCAAAAGAAGAATGTTTTTCCTTCATACTAATTTTTTTAAAAACAAATTATATTAGTTTTATTTTGAAAGGAGCCCTTCCTTTAAAAAAACCAAGTAAGTTAAAAAAATAAAAATAACCAATTCCAGTTCATTTAGCAAATGCAGCACCAAAACACAATAGTTCTAAAGGGGGGAAGAAGGGGGGGGGGCAAACAAACAAAAACATATATTTTTTTAATTTTTGATCTTGATAAACTACCGTATCATGAGGTGGACAAATAGTAATTTTGTTTCCCGCTTTCATGAAAGCGAGATGACATTGAATCAGGGGACATTCATTGAAAGTTTGTCACAAAAACTTTAACATTGGTCATATCTGTTGAATGAGAAATATAGGACTTTCATATTAAAGATGTGTATTGTCTGTGACAAGACTTTTCTAAATACGCTTTGACTTTTTGACCCCGTGACCTTGATGTTTCACCTACTTTTCAAAAATTTAATCATTACTTTAAATTGGCCATAACTTTTGAATGAGAAGAGAGAACTTCCTTGACAAACGTGTTTTAAATACCACTATGACTTTTGACCCCGTGACTTTGATAATTCACCTGAGGTTTGACCTACTTTTCATAAACTCTAATCTTGGTCATAACTTATGAATGAGAAGAAATGGGCTTTCGTACTTTACCTTACATTACCTGTCACAAGACCTTTCTAATTACACTATGACTTTTGACCACATGACCTTGAACCCTGACGTTTGAACTACTTTTCAAAAATGTTATTTTTTCCTTACAACTTTTGATTTGAAAAGATAGTGCTTTCATATTTTACATGTGCAATACCAGTGACAAGATATTTATGAGCATGCATGCTATGATTTCTGACCCCCTAATCTTCATGTTTGACCTAATTATAAAAAAAAAAAACAACTTTGGTAATAACTTTTGAATGACATATGATATGGCGTTAAAACTTCTCATCTACAGAAACACCAAAAGCGGGGTAACACACTTCTTTGAATTTGATTGTTTATAATTCTGTTTTAAACTAGAAAAATGTCCCCTTAACCAAGATTAACAGAAAGCAAACCACTAGTGTATGGACTCACACAAAATAAGCTATGCCAATACACATTTGTATCAGGCGAAAATAAGTTTTCGTTTATGAGCAAGGTCTTTCTTCTTGTGAAAAGGTTTTTAAGGGATTCTCTTATTTTCAATTATTTTCTGACTGCCACTGTTTTAAAAATGATCCTTTATGTCCGGAATCTCCTAAATACCTCAAACAAAAGACAATGAAATAATATAAGATATAGATAAAAATTTTAAAAAATTATAAAAAGATGAATTTGTATCAGTTTTATCTTGAAATGTGCCCTATGTTTCCGTATTACCAAGTATTGATCGGTACGACTTTAATGCCATTCATAGCGTAGGTTGTATGCAGATATAAACAGTCAAGCAAAAAGATATCTATTGCTAGATATATATTTAACGTCCGGGATTTACAAAAAAACAAACTAGTTTAAACATGGCAAGCGTCAAAAGCCCGGTAAAAATTGAAAATTTTCTCCAGTTTTCGGCGAGAACCTTACAAGGTGAGAAGATAGATTTCAGTCAGTATGAGGGGAAGGTGATCCTGGCGGTGAATGTGGCTTCCCTCTGAGACACCACCAAGAGGGACTACCCGATGATGAACCAGCTCGTCGAAAAATTCGCGGGGAAGCTGGTGGTTCTCGGGTTTCCCTCCAACCAGTTCGGACACCAGGTAAATTATTTTTTTTATCAAATTTCTTATACATCACAAATAATTTTGTCATCTAACAAGAGAGAGAGAGAGAGAGGAGGGAGGGAGGGTTTGATAAATTTGTACAATTTGTATCATCGAGTTGTATAATAATTTCTTTATTTCCTACATTTCCTTGTGATAAATTTATAATTGATTTGTATTTGCATGTGTGGGTGCATTTACGAATTACCATAGAGTGTTTGGAAGTTATCTGCACTGATCGACTGGTTCTGGTATTTAAATTGTTCTGTAATGGGTGTGTAAAGAATATTTTCTGTCCTGAGATTTATTCGGGCACGTTTTATCGTTTTTGATAGAGGACAGACAGTAAAAAAATATCCCGATCTGACACCTGAAAACTTGGAGAAAAAAGTAAATTGTCTCAGAAATCCAATTTCGGGGGGGGGGGGGGGGGGGGGGTCCAAATTATTTAACAACCGAATATTCTTCATACGTTGCAATATAAATCTGATTTTGACTGTGTTACAACAAAAAAGGGGTCAAATGGTTTTTCAAAGACAAATTTCAAATGTTTAAAAATTATATTTGGGAAAAAGTGGGAGAAGGTATACCTTACGATACCTTACGATACCCCCTACTACTACATGCTTGCTTTTCAGTAGGCATGTACGTATTTTACTCGGTCAATTCAAACTGGATTGAACAGGGATCATTTCTGTAACCCCTATCCCCATTAGTACCGTACGTTTAATCTTTACATGTATATAAACAGTAAAAAAAAGTAGAAATCCATATTTGACTAATATGCAGATATCATTTGAACCCTTATGGAAACAAGAAACGACATCAAAGAGCAGTTGTTGATTTATACCTAGCTGCAGATCTGTAACGTTATGGTTTTATATATTTGTCTTTGACCATACAAATACTTAAGTATATAAAACCATAACGCTACAGATCTGCAGCTAATTTATACCCAAATTTGATAAGAGCTAGGTTTTTGTACATCTTTGGGACAGTGTATGTTTTTTTTTTTAAATATATATGTAGTTATCGTCAGTAACAAGTTTTTTGATGTCTCATCTCAAAAAGAGTTGTATTACATAGAGCGCACAGTACTTCAAATAGAAAAAAGTTTAAGGGTGTTAGTTTAACCCCAACCTTAATCTGCAACACGATCTGCTCTCTCTCTCTCTCATTCGGGGGGGGGGGGGGGGGGTTGAATGTGGACGTGTTATGCTTAATATAATGCTAATCAGTACTTAAAGCGGGGTACTAGTAACTTCTGTTTTGAGCCCTTCCAACTATAAATCAATATGGTAATTCCCATGTATGATTGTGTTTATTTAAAATTATTTACAGTGTATTTTGTTTTCACAGGAAAACGGGAATGGGGCAGAAATTTTGAACACTCTGAAATACGTTCGGCCAGGTGATGGATTCGAACCAAACTTTCCTGTCTTTGAAAAACTAGAAGTGAATGGTGAAAAGGCTCATCCCATCTTTAAATTTCTGAGAGACAGACTTCCCATTCCTAGTGACGAGGCGACATCGTTTATGTCTAACGCCAGCAAGATTATCTGGGCTCCCGTAACAAGGAGTGATATCGCGTGGAACTTCGAGAAATTCTTGATAACCCCGGACGGGAAGCCGTACCGACGATACAGTAGATACTATATAATGACGAACATTCAGAGCGATATTAAGAAACTTATAGACGAATACAACGTAAAATAGTGTTCAATTTTCTGTGTGTCATTTAAATTATTTAAGTACATCAAGCATTTTCTACATGGGTAAAGGTGATGTTTAATGACTGTTCTTCTATAAAACTCGTTTATTTGAAGATAGAAGAACATGATATTTATTGACATCTGTCTTTCTCCATATATAAAATCTTGTTTTGTACAATTTTGAAATAAATATTGTGCGACAAATAGTGTATATTTTAAATGCTATAGTAGTGGTCCAACAAAACACCTTAACGCGGAAAACTACTCAGTTTGCCATCTGATTTCACTCAGTTATGCAAACCACTTATTTTCCGTCATTAATGAAAATTACTACACTCCCCAAAGCTATGTCATTTATTTGATGAAGAGTTTGGATCCTTGTTTGCATCAGAGATATGTTCTGCATAATTCATTTGTTGAGAACAAACATGTCTACGCCTTGTGGCGATGAAACATGAATGTGTGAGTGGCTAAATAAAGAGTCTGGACAGGTGATTTTAATCGCGGGCACAACCTTAGCTTTAATAGGCCCTCCTATATTAGGAACATTTGACTAAAGGAAGGCAACATTCACCACATCACAGTTAAGTTAAATAAAACGACACTATGATGGCTTCATAGAAATTCTAAACCTCTTTACTACGTGTCAAGGTCGATTTTCTACGTGTCAAGGTCGATATTTTTCCAAACGATTATTGGTTGTATCATAGGCCTCTTCGGTCCCATTGTAACTGAAATGAGAAGAGCTCAAGTTCACTTCTGGGTTAAGGGAAGCGCTCCACCACCATCCCCTACCCCCTTCCCATAAGACATTTCACAATATACATATACTTTTGTTTTGTTTTGCCTCATGCCCTAGACCAGTTTGACTTAGGAAAACTCAAATCTTGGCCGAAACATTTGCTGTAGAGCATAATATAAAACATTTTTGCAAGTCAGGACAGACAAGGCAATTACAAGCATTGCAACACAACGAATAAGAATCCTGGGGGATGATTTGTTAGTCTTAAAACAGATTTGTTTATTCTCACTTCGGAAAATGTTGCAACATCTGGCACAATTAAAACACTCCAGAATACCCTTTCTTCGTTGAGTTAAGTGTTATCCTGTGTTCTAATTGCATCCTGGATTGAACTCTTAGCAGGTTGTCTACATGTTAATTTAACAGTACTTGCATTCGAACTGCACGCTTTTAAAGTAAAATCGAAATATTGTTATTCAAATGCGGATGTATTGAAATCGTAGTGGTTTTTACATCATGAAAAACCTGGACATGCAGAGTTGTTTCCAATTTAACACCCCCACCCCAACCCACCTGGTTATGGTATTGGATGAGGGCATCCTCCTTTGAATTATATAAGTTGATGAGTTCCTGTTTATTGTATTGTCCTTAAATCTTTTAAGATCCTAAGATTTGCATTGATTACAAATTGTGATGCAAGATTTATTTTCTTTCTTCTGGAAAGGGAGGGGGATAAGTGAAAAAAGGGACTTCCAATGAAAAAACTTAAACCTGTCCTTGGTCATAAGTTTTGGTTGAAGAAGATAGGGTTTTCTTGATCTGTGAGAGTGACCTCGAAGTTTTACTTAATTTTCAAAGAAATAGCTTTCCAATGAATGGGGCTTTCATATTTTATATTTGAATTATCCTTTTTTTACCCTTGACCTTGGAGATTAACATACCTTTCAACATTGGTAACAACATTTGAATGAGGCCATAGGGCTTTTTTTCTTCCATTTGCACTTTCATATTTCAATTTTGCCCTTTATACTGTAGAGAACCTTGCAATTCTATTCACTATACTAACTCACCTTCTAGAAATACAAAAATGAAGATTTTCAAATATCTAAATAATACATTTCCAATTAATGATTCAATAGCCCCATACTGCTGTAAAACTCAAGGACTATAGATTTCCTAAATTTATTTGGAGAGCTTAGTTTATTTTGAAGAAAGCAATTTCATTTCCAAGATTCAAATAGTAGTGGAGACTATCTGAAAAGTTTGTTTTCATAAATGGGACCAAATTTTAGTATATGCCCTTAAAGAAAAGAATCTTAAAATTTTCAAAATTTAACTAAAGAATGACACCTATACCAGTCACCATGGTGATTCAGGTAATTAATTAAAATTCACCCTGCTGAGCAGAATAATAAGCCCATAATTAATATCACATGTACAATGTGCTAACACACTGTTTTTCTTTTCATATTTAATTAAAACAAAATAAACCAATATCCTTATACCATGCAATTTATTCACATTAACAAGACAATGTTCTAAATGTATATCTGTTAAGACATTGACTACATCAACAAGACACCATACACAGTGTAATTTCTAATGATATGGCAGTGTTAGAACCAATACCAGATATTCTTAAAATTGCACATGTATAACAAAAAATCGTGAAAAATGCAGGCACCATTGCACATCAGAATATGTGGTGAAATAATGCTTATCATTATGCAAAGGATGAAAGCCTGCCAAAAACTTGAATTATTTTCAAAACAGCCGTAAACATCTAGCTTTTTCTATAAATGATTCCATCAGCTCAGGTGAGTTAAAAATTCAAGCTACTCTGCAGTCGGACTCGAAGGCAAGTACAAGTACCAGTATATAAGAGAGAGGAAAGGGAAATGGAAATGTAACATTTAAGCAGCGTTATTTGGTTTAAAAGTTATAACACATCAAAACATCACAACAGATTCAATTTACAGACTACAGCTTAGATTTCTCCCAACTTGGATAAAATATACATATAGTGATCAAATGCTGAATTTACAGAGTCAATTTAGTATAAGAAAGTAAAAGTAACAGTTATCATTCATTTTTCAGCTTATCACTGCTCTGTGTCACTCTAGAATTCTTATTTTATCTATTAATGTATAATGCAATTACAGTCATTAATATGATGTGCTAAAATTATTTCTATCAAAAAATACTACCAGATGATGATAAGTGCTTTTGATTTCTTGGCATGATATATTTGGCATACATGCATTTATATAAAGAGTATGAATATGATTTTATATGGAATGGAATGAGATAATACTGCTATCTGGATATTTCCAATTACTACAACTCTTTACATGTTTGAAATACATGTATCGAAAAAATACCTAGATGTCAAAGAATTCAAACTGCAAGAATATTTAATCATCAACATTTTGTTTATGATCTGTTACAGACTTCATAGAAAGATATTCTACATGCCCTCAATGGGACAAGAATGTAACTTCCATAATGTAATATAGTACTAATGACTGTGATGGTGCATCAAAAAGCATAAAATCAGATAATGCATTTGGACGGAATGTCTCTGAGAATGATGAAATAGATAAAAATATGTGATCTTGACTACATCCATGTATATTATCTAATCACAGAATGAAACATTTTGGGTAAAAAAAATTTACAACAAAAGTTTTCAAAACATTTTTCAGACATGGCATCAATGACTGAAAGATATGAGACAGCAAAATGTTGTGTAAAAACATAAAAAAAAAACAACAAATTATGGATTTCAGTCTCAGTATCTTGGCAGAAGTCAAACGGTTCCTTGGGGGGACTGTAGACACAATGGCAGGGTACACTACCTGGACATTATTTCCAGACTCTCTGTAAGTCCTCATACACTGATTAAATCTCTGATTCCTCACTAGATTCCGGCACTAGGTATTCTCTGTTTTCATAAGTCCAGAAGTCATTCAAGTCTATAAGTATACTCACAACTGTGTCACCTTTACCACTGAAACAAGAGACACCAAATTCATATACTGTATAAAATTCAATTCTGAAATGTATTATAAAATATTACAAGTATTGTCTTTAATTTTCCATGTGGTAGAGTTATAATGAACTGTAAGAAAATCTTATCTAGCTTCCCTAATACAGTACTGGATTAATATTCCTGTCAAGAAACACACAAAACACAACAAGTGGCCTGTAGTTATTTGAATGCCATGTTGCAAGTTTTCATGAGCCATGTTATATTAAATAGTGCTTTGTGGTAGTTTGGTCTAAATCACAACAAATTTTTAACAAGTGTGTACATGGCTAAAAGACTCGGTGGCCTAAAAAGACAGGATGACTTATCGATTCTTAAAAATCCCTCAGTTATTGTAAGAAGAGTGGTAAATTACCAATTGATGAGATCTTGAAGAGTAATATGTAGAGGATCCCTTGGTTTCACCATATCAAATATTTCATCTTTTACATCATGAAAAGAAACTGGTTCCTGGCCATGGATCTTCATCTGTTCTTGTATAGCCTAGAAAAAAGGATAATGGTCTGTTACAACACTGTTCTTCATCATCAGATTTTTCCATAAAATGTTCCTATAGTTTGTTAACTTTGATCCCTACTTGTGACCCCATTGTACGTCCAGGTATCATGATTTTATATAGGTGTAATAACACCCTACCCCTTGGTGTCATGATTTAAACGAACTTGAATACATGTGTATTCTATCTCAAAATACTTCCACATCAATATGACTATATGTAATGGCTTTTAAATATGTTTAATTACCATCTTTTCATAAACAAACCCCTCACTTGATGACAAGTTTGTTTGAAAACTGCCAAAAATTTAACAGACAAAATGGGGAGACCTTCATCAGAAATACAGATGCCAGACAAGATTTACCAAAATAAAGTGCCACGCCACAGCATGATACGCCCGTCAAAAAATTACAATTACAATGTATCTTAAACAGCTAAAAGTGCAGGAAAATCATGTCAACCTTGATTTTTAGATTTCAATGATTTTTACACACCTTAAAAAATTTGTTTATCTATCTCCTGTGGTGTAGGCATTAATTATAACAAATATTGCATCATGATTAAATCTCCGATCATAGATTTCTATACCTTGCCAAATGCCTATCATATTAAAAAATATCAAATTAGTCTTCACAACTTAATCTACACCTAATTAATTTTGGAAATAAAAGACTGGCCATCAAATATAAACTGACCAACAGTTCTTCTGTCTAATTCCCGAAGGATACAGATTAGACCATGCTCTGAAGAAATGAAAGAGACATGCAGCTTCCCTTCCTACATTGAACACATTAATTAATCTTTAACTGGATGCTTGTCTACTCATTACAATGTACTCCCAAAAGATTATTGGATCTGCACTATCTACCATAAAACATTTTTAAAAGATATAAAACATCAATGATTTTTTTTTAGATTTAATGTCAGACAGTTAATTGTTAATATGCAATTCATATGGACATGCAGATTCCACCCCTACCACCATAAAATTAATTTTTAAGTTCATAATATTATGTAATATCAAAATAGTTAATATGCAATATCAAATTTGTTTTAATTACTTCTCATCAAATTCATTTTAAAACTTTGGCTAGCCAACAAGAGCTATTTTTAATCCAACAGGCTTACCCATTTGGCCCAATACTCAAGGGATATAGATAGCATCGATGCTCTTACAGCTACTCCTCACACTAAACTCATTAATTTCTCTCTCTAATTTGACATGCAATTTTCTGTTATCGAAATTCTTCTTGACCAGTGCTTGATAATTAGACTCATGGGAGTGGTGGAATTTCTCTAACATACATTATATTTGTTATAGATTGCTGTCAAGTATATGCTAAAAAAATAAGTATTTTCTTGATTTAACATTTTTCTAATAAGGTTAGTGCAATAATTTTACATTATTTTGAATGTGTAAATGAATAGAAAAAAATTAAATTTTTTTTAAAAATTCCACTTAAATTAAAGGTCATAGTGACCTTGAAATAGGTCGCGACACACCTTCTACCTAAGATGCATAAACTGGCCAAGTTTGATGATTCTAAGTCTTATAGTTTTCTAGTTATGAACCGGACAGGATTTTTCCATATTTGGCTATAACTTTTTAATTATAGGTCAGAGCGACCTACTTTTTGTGCGCGACACACCTTCTACCCAAGATGTATCAGCTGACAAAGTTTGATAACTCTAGGCCTTATAGTATTAAAGTTATGAGCCGGACACGAGGAAAGCTAACAGACGGACGGGTGATTTTCATCAGACGGACACGAAGCCTATAACATAATACGTCCCGTCTTAAGACGGGCGTATAAAAAGTCAACAGTTTCAAGGTTCTAATTAAATTTAATTATGTGTACATGTACTTTTATCAGCAGATGCAGAGCTTTTAATAAATTGGAACCTTCAAATCTGATTTATTATAATGTTGAAATACATAATGAATACTTACTCTGAAGAAATAGTTTAAAGAAAAGACATTCAGATATCCCACATGTTTGACATCAAGAATTCTGAACAAGTATCTGAGGGACTGGGGTTCTCGTCGATTCTCCAGGGCTAGGACAAAATCAAGGTAAGTCTTATAATCCTACAAATAGAATGTCAGACTCCAAGTAAAACATACAATCAACATATTCTTTAATTCTATTTCACCTACAAATTCACAGAAATTACAGTCATAAATTTTCAGGTGTGGATAGCAAAGGGGGAATAATTTTTCTGTATAACATGAAATGAGCCTTGCTCAGCACAAGAATACCTAAGTGATCCAAAATTTCACAAATCTGATAAAAACACCAACACCCTTGCTTATTACTACTTTGAACTCTGTTTGCCTTTTAGAAGCTCTGGAGCAGTGAATGAAGTTTTATAATGTACAATGTATTTTGGTAATAAAATTAATAGACCCCTGACCCAGTGGCTATGAATTTCACAAGTTTGTAATGTTACCAAGACAGAAAATTCTACTCTCTAGAACTGACTTAAAGGGGAGCATACATGGAACTAAAAAGATGAAAACATACAAGGGTCCTCTCGATATTAGAAAGAGGGGAAATGTACTCTAAATTGCCAAAAAAAGTTTAATTTTCAAATAACTGTACCATTTCTCCTTCATACGTCAGGCATTCTTGAAACACACGATCTAGGAACACTTGAGTCAGAGTACCTGTGCCATATCTAAAACACAAACAGACTACATCTTAGCAAAGGCTCAATAATAATTCCAAACTAGGATATTGTTATTTTTATCAAATCGATGTTAATACTTGTCTGCTTTCCTTTACATTAACACTAATTAAAAGAATTGTCAATGATGCAGTGCCTCATGTTTAAACAAGTTAAATGTGAATAGAATTTAACAGAAATGTGAATTTTGATAAAACTTATAATCAACTCTGCATTGAAATATGACTGGAACAATGAAGAGAGATTATTTGGACAGAAAACGTATCAAAGGTAAGGAAATACTGACAAGCAAAATCAATGCTTTACAGAGTATCAAAATATTGTGTATTTGTAGCATAGAAAACCAAAGGGAAAATGGCTATGTCAAACCTTGCCAACTCTTCTTTGCTTAGCATGCCATTGTGATCTTTGTCCAGATTTAGATACTGGCCATACACCCTTAGAGCAGAAGGGGCAGAGAACCAATTTGACTGCTGCATCTCTGTAGACAAGTCTTCATCTCTAAGCTGAAAGGGAAGTCATGCATGACAGCGTTATTTTTGTAAAATAAAAGTTAATATCTTTAAAATAAAGTGAATTCTTATATTGACTGTAACATCAGTTGTCATGAAGATATTCAAAATTGAACTCCATCTACATTTAATTCAAAGCAACTAAGTTTTCTGTTTCAGATTTTTTTTCATGCCAAAAATAAGCTTCTTTCATTTGAGAAGCAAGTAGTAGGAGGCAAATATACAAACCTCTAATAAATCATCCAGAAAGCTGCAGGCCAGAATATCCTGGATTTTGATCCGACCAGTCCTCATAGGGTCCAGGAAAAAGAAAAACTTTCTTACAGCAGTACACACATAGAAAGAGTAGAAAGATTTCTCCAGTCCATTCAACTGTAAAATTCAAACAAATTATTACTACATGTAACCACCTGCTTTTCCCATACAGATGCCATGATCCAGATTTGTCTGCTATTTAAGTTGTTATAAAATAGAAAGATGTCTTGAGTTAAGAACATAATGAATCTCAAAGCATAACCCTGACCATTCAAAGTATGTGTGTAATACAGAATGTTTAAACACTCTAATTATTGTACTTTAATAATAATCCCCAAGCTCCCACTGCTGAAATAAAAGTAACTCCATACCTGTGGAAGTGTTGGAATCAATTCTAAAATGTAATTTTCTAGATCCTGGAAAGTAAAAGAGACATAAATATACATGTATACTTTACGAAAGTATATAAATTAATGGACTTCTCTTTTCAAGATTTCAATATTAAAATTTTACCTCTTAAACATTTTTATTTTTTTATCATAACCTATCAAAGACTTATCTATGAAAAATTTTTCTGTTTTCCTAACCACAAAGTTTTTTTTTTCATTTTTTTAACATGTGCACAATATAAAATATATAACTTGGATGGAAAAAATCATGTTAAAGTTGGGGCTGAACAATATAATCTAATATTAAGGTAGTATAGGACTTACAGATTCCTTAAGGTAGCCCTGCCCAGCCACATCATACAGAGAGAGACCAATCCTTGTCTGGTGAAGCCAAACTTTTCTCATCACATAATTAAAGAACTGCATAATGGAGATCCTACCATACGGATCCATCTGTAGCAGTTTGGTGAACACAGAGGCAGTGAAAAACTGTCTGTAAGAAATATAAAAAGACATTTAAAATGTCATGCTTTTATACTGTAATTCTTATCAAAAAAATTACCTCTGCTAATTTTCTGGTGCATAATAATTGTATTAAAGGTAAAAAAAAAATGTAAAATCCATGTTTTTGCAACTAACTTGATGGATTAATGTAACAAATACTTTATAAACCATTATCTTAATTTTCTTAAAATATGGGATCTTGGTGTGAATGTTTCTGGGCTTCAAAATTCCAGGCCTAAGACCAAGCTATTCTTGATTCAGATATGACACATTTTCTACTTAATGGCTCCTGTGTGTAACAATAAATCACTGCAGGTGCAAATCTCAATTTCTGCATTCATTGACAAATAAAATATCTGAAACATTCACCTAAAACTGTTTTCTAAGATAGAATAATGAGAATTCAATAGTTTCTATATGAAGGGTTTGATTTATGGATCAGCATTCCTTAGAGTTGTTTCATATATAAAATGTATGTACATGTAGATCAACAAATTTGATCTAGATGAAAACTTTCTTTCGCTCGCTAAGCTGATGTTGCTCTCACTGTGTGTGTAGCCCTGTACTCTGACATTAGTCACTTACTTGCACTTTGGACCAGCTTCCTCCCCGACTTTCAGAAAGTCCTCATAATTAATCATCTGGTCCTCCCCCACAATGGGAGGGGTGTGGTGCTGATCTAGTAGAAACCACAGTCTCTGTTCACAAAATTCAAATGAGTATAATTTAGGTGAATACACAAAAAATTTTAGATTTTCAAAGCAAATGATAAAATTCTGCAAAAAAAAAAAAAAAAAAAAAAAGATCTCTTCAAATTTACTTCAACCTAAGAAAAAGAATACTGGAGAAAATGACATCCTCTTATTAAAGGCATAACATGTGAATTTACAATTATAAATCATCTGAAGTTGCTTTTTGCATAAAGATTTTGTACTCCCCAACTTCTGTTGGGGTTAAATGGATCCAATATTTTGGAAGGCCTAGGGAACTATTGTTAAATTGGCTGTTATTTATAAAAGCAAAATTACTTCAGTTACTTGACTCATATTCAATCATTACATTGATGTTGGATGTGCATTTTATATTTAACAAGTTTCAATGAGAGATACTGTGGCTTTAGCCAAATTTGTGATCAGTTCTCTCTCCAGTGACTATAAATACCTGTAATTCATCATTGTCCAGCAGCTCTCTGCTCCTTCTTTGTAAAAATACAGCCCTGAAATATCAATGTAATACAAAGTGTCAATTTATCATAGATTGTCATGAGTAAATATAATGATAAATGAAGGATGAAACTATATTCCTTTTAAATCTGTAGATTATCAAAATTTTAATTTGTAAAGGAAACTCTAGAATCTTTCTCAAAATCCTGATTTCAATGGAATGCTTTATATGTATGTTGACTTCTGAAATACTTCATTAATTTTCAGAATATGTATTGGTTAAATTAAATAAATGAAGAACCTGGACTCCTCTCTCAGTTTCAGCATTAGTGGTTCATCTTCTGATGGAAGCTAAAAATGAGATGGATATATAAATGCACAGATTAAAGTTACATACTCTTATAAATAAATTTGTTCGTATTGTAAATCTACAATGCAATAAGGCATCTTCCTTAAACAAGGTAAATCTTAAATATACAGAATTAATATAATACTAGTATTATAATGTCACCAGATAAACATGTACCATACTTACTTTTACATACAGGACTGGCTCGTTTTTGTAGCCCTTATCAATCCCCTTACATTCTGAGTAGTACTTTGTAAACAGAGCAGTTTCCTCTGCTTTAGCTTTGCCAGGATCAGATGTTTTCTTTTCTGAAAAAAGGTCACATATTTCAAACAAAGCCTGCAAGTAAGAGCAATATTGTTTATGGTTTAATTTCTTATCTTAGTACTTCTGTGTAAGTATTGTCTTGGTATGGTTTGTAGTTATTTAGGCCTGGTACTGCTACCAAATTTCAAAATAGATACTTGTATGATAAATATATATGTCAAATTTATGCTGTGGCTCAAAAATGTCTAACAGCATGCATCACCAGATTCAGGACACATGACACTGGTCTATACAATATACAATTATGGACATGAGTTTAGGTCTACATGTGGGTGTAAGGACTCAAGGCAAGTGACCAAAGACACAAAATGTGATAAAGACCAATCTTGCAAAGTTGCTGTCATTTTTTGTGTCAGAGGTCAATATCACTTGCCTCCTAATAACCACATATTGAACTACACTGAAGTCCATAATAGTTATATTATATAATCACTAAAAGTAAACAATCTCATACAGTCATAACTAAACTGACTTGGCTTTCATTTCGTCACAATGGTACAAGCATGCTTCTTATATAAGGTGTGTCCTGCAATATCATTTTCTGTGGATGTGCTTTATTGTGTAATGGTTTGGGACATGGATATCAGCCTGTATAGCTCAGTTGGTAGAGCATCTGACTGGAGATGCAGGGGTCCTGGGTTTGATTCCCAGTCCAGCCATACATTTTCTCCCTTCCTGTTACAGATTTGGTGCCGTTGACCACCCCTGGAATTGCAGGTGCAAGTCCTGCCTGGGAATAATAAGAAATTGGGTTGTGTCTTCGGGGACAAAGACCATTTAAGGTGGGAGGAATGTAATGGCACGGGCCGTGGATATTGGCCTGAATAGCTCAGTTGGTACAGCACCCATACATGTTAACTCTCCCGATTTAGGCGGGAGTCTACCGCTTTTTCACTCCATCTCCCGCCTACCGATTTAATTCAGAAATCTACCGCTTTTCTACAGAAGCTGCGTCTAAAGTATTTTTGGTTCGCTTGGGTATCCATTTTTGAAGCCACTCTCATTAAATCTCGCTTGGTATCGCATGATTTGACTCGGAATCATACAAACGCTTTTTTGTACATAGATTTCAAGCACGAATTTGACAACGACAACAACATAAGACTACCAGTGATTACATTGGTTACGATAAATTATAATCAACATCCCTGCCATGAAAAAGGAGATACAGCTTTTAAGAATTAGATGAAAACATTTGACATCGTCTTTAAAAGCACAGAAGCTCACAACTTTATCAATAAAGTCAATAGAAATTACTCAATTGACCAAGCCATGTGGCACATCTCTACTTTCGTTTTCGATCATCGCGGGAAGTCTGATTTATATAACGAAAGATACGAACTTGTTTTAGATCTAGATTAAACCATGCCATCATTTGTTTTGTTTAAAAACTGAATGAACATTCAGAATTATTGCTTCTAGGCTATTTCAGCAAAGATCACCCTTCAAAAGGCTAAGTAAAGCAGCCAATCCAAGCAAAATGATGAGCATGAAAAATATTTGAATTTGTACAATTTATGTCAAACTTAAGGTGTTTTTGTCTTCTTTGCTGTTGATATTTAAGATTAATTAGTGCAGGTACCTGATTTTATTTAAGGCTTATAATATACATGTATATTACATGAAAGATATCGATAATCCAAGCGCGTTAAACAACACGCGCGCAATGCTACCGCTTTTGAGGTCTGAATCTCCCTCTTTTTCACCACAATAGGTTAACATGTATGAGCACCTGCCTGGAGATGAAGGGGTCCCCGGTTTGATACCCTATCCAGTCATACATTTTCTCCCTTCCTGTTACAATTGCATCAGTATCACAAAAGGAGGAAAAATGTGACATTCTCAGCGAATTAGAATTATGAAAAAAAATCATGTATATTATATTAATTGGTACATGAATTCAGGAACAAATTGACTGTAAAAATACAAGAGCTAGCTAGTGCATTTGTACTGCCATCTTGTGTCAATATTCAATTATATAAGTTTAATAACCCTATAATATAATTTAATTATTGAATGTATTTGACAAAGGTATGCAGAATCTAAGACACAAGATTGCACTTGTGGAGATTAATTGTCCATGGGGAGTAACTGCATGCTGTTTTATAAGCAAATTAATGTAAGATGATCATCAACTTTTGTTCCTGTCTCTGTGACTGAAGTGTATATGATTTATATCTAGGGAAGCTGAGTGTAACATTCTGACTCAGTACCTAATGTTTTTGTTTACATTTTACATGTTGTACTAACAATCAAGTTTACACTCACTTTTCTGATTCTCTACAAACTTTCTCAGTGCTTTCTTTAATTCCATTTCAGTCTTTCTTTCTAAAGCTGTTACAGTCATTTTAATTTCGCTAGCATTGTCATAAATTCAGCAGTCACAAGAACTTTCCTTTTTTCCATTCCCTCTCTTATTTCATGTCCTGCAATTTCATTGGTCGATTCCCTAGAAACTCAAGCAGCGACACGGCATATTGTTCAAAGGGAGATAACTTGTCGCACTTGCATGTTGAGACAAGACGAAACTTGATTGTATACTAGAAATTAGAATTTAAAAACATTCAATATTAAATTAATTTTGTTTTTGAACTTTAGGGCCTAATTATCATATATGATGATATTCGTATCATTATAAACAAGCATAAACGTTCAGTATTTTCAGTTCTCTCGAATATTGTTTTCTGTGTAAATAATATTTTTATGAGAAAAATAGAATATACAATTTAATGTTAAAGGGAAAAAGTAAATAATTTACATGTTTAAATCTGTAGCGTGAAGAAGGGTTAACGATCGACGAAGTTTTTAATGTGAAGTAGCCTCGGAACGAGTTAGCTATTTCCGAACACCCCGAAGAAGATGGCGTCTGGTTCGTTTTTCCAAATTTAGCATTAATTTTGGTCATAAATTTTAATCTTGAAAACATTAAACTTGACGATTCTCCAAAATCCTTTTTAGCAAATAATCTTCTCTGATAAGAATAATATGTTTTACGGTGTGACCGTTGGGGCGAGCGCAGTTGAGTTGTACCATCAAAAACACTTCAGATCAGCCACTTCCAACGTCAAGCCGCACGAGACTTCTCGACTAGCTGTGACGTCATACGACGTCACAAAGCTCGTCGGAGCTTACGGAGACCGTCGAGCGTCTGTTTGAAACTATAGAACTAGTGCAATTTTTGTCGAAAAACATTGCTGAGTTATTTCTTGTTTCTTTGAAAGATTTCAACAAACTGAAAGTCTGATATATGCTTTACGTTATTATTTATTTATTTATTCGGCAATATTCGCGCAAAGGACATTGGGTAGTGCAGGAATTCTGGGAATGTTGCACAGAGAAATTTGGCTGACGTATGTACAGATTTCAATCCGAATTTCCTCTGTTCTTACACGTTAGTCTATTGAGCTCGCTGCGCTCGCTAATACTAAAAATTACAACACTTGGTTGTGTCTTAAATTTAACATTCCCCATCTTTTAACCAAACTTGCCCAAATTAAGGAGTGTGACTAAATTGGGTAGCGAAACCCGGGCCGGGCCGGGATTTTCGATAACGAAAACCGGGTTTTTAATAATCACGAAATAAATACTCATTCCTTCTTCATGAAATTTACGGACATAGTTTATAATTCTAATATTGGCCTTCGCTGAAAGTTTTAGGTCAAAATGTTGTGTTTTTCAATGATTATCACCGATTGTCCTTTTCTAAGTGACTAAAATGGGTAGCGAGCCCGGATTACTCATTTTGGCGATTTAAATTTAATTTCGGCAGCATATTTACAATAATTTCATTTGGATCTTTGGAATTGAACTTAACAGGTCCAGTCCAAAGACTATTTCTACCTACGTAGGTATTAATAGCTACCTAGGTATTTAAAGCTACCCAAAGTAGCTATTTTTACCTACTTTCTGCTTTACTTGCATTTTGTGGCCAAATGCAGTAACGGTGCAACATGGCGAGCACAAAATTTCTTGATACAGTCACACTGATGATGAATATGACAAAAATTTGGCCAAAAAATGAAAACTTCGTATATTATCAATTTTGCACAGAAACTAATGTAAAATTGCCGATTCAGGAAGTAATTATTTTTTGGCCAAAATTTTGTCATATTCATCATCAGTGTGACCGTATCAAAAAATATGGTATTCACCATGTTGCGCCGTTTGGTCTTTTGGTCGCAAAATGCAGAAATTATATAAAGTAGGTAAAAATAGCTACTTTTGGTAGCTTTAAATACCTAGGTAGCTATTAATAGCTACGTAGGTAGAAATAGTCATTGGACTGGACCTGCTTAAGGGGGATGTACGGCCACCTTTAGTGCAGTGAGAAAGAAATGTAAAAATTTCTTCTAATGGCTAAAATACATTATATTTTGATCAAATTTTAAGTCTTTATGATAAAGATACAATAAATATGCATAACTGAATGCATGTTGTGCTTATATAATCTATACTTTTGCAGAAAAATGCTTTTGATATGCTCCTTAGAACTGCGCAGCTACAGAATTCAGCAAAGCCTTAAAAAATCCAAAAAAATATGCAAACTGTGCATTAATGTTCTCTCTACAACCATTTGTTGAGAAAATGTCTAAATTTTGCACTTTTTAATGATAATTTCAAGTTCAAAACAAGGTACCGTTGTCTTCAAAAAGAGTGCAAAGAACCATGAAAGTAGTTCATGGATAGCAGCACGTGGTCTATTTTTAGCACAGAAATTTGTTTTCCAGACCTCTTCTTAATATGGAAGGACATAACAATCTTAAATGTAGAAGAGAATTACAGTTGCAAAATATTTCAAATATTACGAACACTTTTAAAAGAGGAAAGGTGTTATAGTGTGGCTTGAAGTAATTTATTTAGTATTATTATCGAACAGTTGTTAAATAGTGTACGTATTGATATAAAAAAAATCTTAAACTCTTTGACTCCAGGTAAAGAAAACTGAGCACCATCAAAGTTAGAAATTAAGAGTTTGTAAGTTTGCCATAGATAACTTATATTATCTATCAAAATTTTAATTATCACCAATGAAACACAAAGAAATAAGACACATATAATCGATATGAATGACCTTATTTAATACTTACTAGTACCAGGGGTGATCAAAAAGTTCGAACTATCTCTATATCTACAAAACCACAATTCAGATTAGAAACATAGCCAAACACAAGTTCTATAAATAGCATATGCTGAAGTCTTGCTCCTTGTTTGTTATGTCACAATCTGAAAATGACGTCATGCATGTACTTGTGACGAAAATTCTATTTGCCCATATTGTCAAAATTAAAATTTTACAAAGTAAAGAAAAAAAAAATCAACATAATTAAAAAATTTATACGATCTTTAAAATGACGGTTGGTGGTCCTCCCAACTCAGGGAAAAATTACTGGGTCCGTATTTATAGGTGAGAAAGAAATTCCTAAAAAAATTTAAACATAATTGTTGACGGAAGAAAAAGAAAAAAATATCGTGTAATGGGATGTAAAAAAAAAATGAGTCGGGCCATTTCCAGGCAGTAGATCGGGAGAGAGGGCAACCAAAAAAATTTTTATAACAAGTGGTCTTATAAGGCTAGTACATATTCCATCACGTACTTAGTAATGCAAAATCTTTTAATCTTTTGCACTATTTTGAAAAACAAACACAGGATTTTCGGGGAGGGGGGGGCTCTCATTTTTTTTGCGATGATATAGACATAGCTTATGCAATGGACCTTTCTTTGCAAACATTGTACTCGCTTCTAAATTTCAAAGAAACAACTCAATATATTTTATCAAGCTTCGTATGATCAATGAGCGAGAGCTTACAACGTCAACATAATGAGACATGATGCATTTTTATGTCCAAACATTAAACCATACAATGTGTTTGTCATTGCAAACAATCTAGCTATTTATTTGAGGTGCCTGAAGGAAATCCTATAACTGCATATTTTTTCTATCTAACTTCTAAACAAAATATACATATGTACCAATTTAAGAATGTAAGGCATGTAATTACAATTTATTTTTCATGCACCGCATATTGTTTAACATTTTCAAATTAAATGCTAAGCATCCTCCTTGCAGTGCCCCATTTGAAAATAACTTCTATCGCCACAGAAAAAAGACCCGTCGTAAACACATATGTTTAGGACATTTTTATCTTTTTTTTTCTTGAGTTTTAAAGACACCAACAAATTATCAAGAATTGTTCCATGAAAAATTAAATATAATCATGGTAATAATCGGATATATCCACAGCAGATATATGCACATGCCAACCACGTGCTCAGTGGAATAATTTTAACGAGGAAACTCGAACTGTAAACAGAACAGTTTTTCCCGATTTGCTGGAGTGGGGTTAAAATCGCGTTTTTCATTAATCAGATGATGCGATGCAACAAATAAAAGTAGTAAGTAATATAACCTAATGATTATTACTGAGTAATTTCTTGTCTTGATGTTATTATGGTCGCATTTATTCTAAAATCAATGTTATTCGAACTCTGTGTGACAGAGGAATGGCGGACGAAATAAACACATGGCCTCAGGAAGACACCCATAAGAAAAATCAAATTTTCAAGAATTATGGATAATGACAAGAAAAAAGCGAAACAAATGGTTGTAGCCATATTATCAATGAATCAAACTAACACCATTTTCAATGCATTTATCATCTCGTAAATGCTGTAGCTGTGCAGTTCTAACATGATTAATTTCCTCCTAATTAAAACAAGATAAACTTATTTGTTAACTAATTTTGGTCTCTAACAGTAGGTAATTAGTGCATTAGCACTTTGAGTAACTTTGGGCTAGTTTAGTAGAGTATTAAGCGTATTCTTGGTATTTCTTATTTTACACCAGACTAGATCCAAAATGGCTTGTGCATCCCCCTTAATGTATCTAAAACATTTAACTATTGCAGTAATTAATCACGATTATTGAAAATATACGCATTTTTTGAACACCCGGGATTGGTCGAAACCGGACACGTTCACCCGAGAAAAACCTTTTATTTCCGAAATACTTATCAGAGAATGACATATAATTGAAATACAAATGACTCTTTTTTTGGTTTGCATATTTTTATTAATTTTTTCCAATTTATTTCTTAGATTATCTCAGTCAGGGACTGAAAAAAATCGACATTCTTTTTCTGGCAATCCGGAATTATTCATTTGTCCCGGGCAAACGCGTCCGGTTTTGAACTGTCCCGGTGTAGCATAATATTTTGATACCGCGATATATTGAACCCAGGTTCGAAATATCGCATAATATTTTGAACCTGGGTTCACTTTTTCGCTGCGATATATTGAACCCCCTTATAAAATATTGAACCCCTACCTTTTTCATTTAAGAGGTAGGGGGTTCAAAATATTATGGCCATAAAATATTGAGTCCCCCTACCCTTTTAATTTTACAGGGAGGGGGGTTCAAAATATTATGGCCATAAAATATTGAGTCCCCCTGCTTATTTAATTTTACAGGGAGGGGGGTTCAAAATATTATGGCCATAAAATATTGAGTCCCCCTGCCCTTTTAATTCAAGAGGAAGATGGGTTCAAAATATTATGGCCATAAAATATCGAGTCCCCTACCAATTTAAATTTACAGGGAGGGGGGTTCAAAATATTATGGCCAAAAAATATTGAACCACCCTGCCCTTTTGATTTAAGAGGGAGGGGGGTTCAAAATATTATGGCCATAAAATACTGAACCCCCCGTCCTTCTGATTTAAGAGGGAGGGGGGTTCAAAATATTATGGCCAAAAAATATTGAACCCCCCTGCCTTTTTGATTTAAGAGGGAGGGGGGTTCAAAATATTATGGCCATAAAATATCGAGTCCCCATGCCCTTTTGATTTAAGAGGGAGGGGGGTTCAAAATAT